CATCCAAATGGCTATCGTGAATGAATCCCATCAGTCTAGGGTTAATGTTAGTAGTAAGTAAGCACTGGAATCTGAATTGTACAGGTTAATTGGGGGAGGGGGGTCTGCCAAAGCAGGGTTTTCGAAGATTCAGTATACCCTGCACAAAGATTTCTACAGTGGCCAACGAGATGCTCAAAGCGGTTTTTCCAGGGAAGTTAGTTCACATGATGTGACAATTCTATAAAGCCTGAAGTCAGTGTCCTTTTCCTGCCAAAATAAAGCCTGCTAAACCTAAATGCATACAAAACAGCACTCAGGAGCTGTGACACGGTGTCTGAGCGGTCCTTTATACTGGAATTCAAACCGGACACTGAAACTGTTCTCCGTTGCGTTGGAAGCAATTATCACAGCAAGGAAATCGTGCTGAAGGAAGAAAAAGGCTCCACGGCTTAGCCTTCGAATCGAGGCGTAAGTTCTCTTGTTAGAACGGCCTTAGCCATGCGCGAGGCGAATAGAGCAGCTGCATTAGCGTGCTACTTTCTCCGATCAAAACTACAAGGGCACGAGGGTAAAGGGTAGTTATCCACTGATGCCTAACTGATGCCTACTCCGCCCGCGCCTCAAGGTGCAGCAGCCGCATCGATACCAGGGGCCCGCAGCGGAACACGCACTCAGCGGTAGTGAACAACTAGTTGCGAGAGGCTGCAGACAAGGAGCGCGTTTGACTACGGTCAGGCGTGTGGCTGGGCAGTCCGGGCGGAGCATGGAGTTGGCACCTGGGCATCACTGTTCTCAAGCCCCTTTCCCGTGCATTTTGACCGGGAAACGTGGTAAGCTAGTGCAGCTGCGGACCCATTCTTCCCACATACGGGATCCACTAGCTTCAGAAAGTGAAGAGTCAGTTTGTCTTCTGGCCAGCATCATCATAGCGTGAAGGAGTGCTTCCAGTAATCGGAATCTTGACAGGCGTTCCTGGAAAGTCCTTAGCGAAGAGATTTGTAGTGAATCGGTTAGGGAAGAGGTTGTGATTGACCTGCTTTGAAAGACTATATGACTTCAGAGTCTCATGACCGTTCACGTGTAGAAATTTAATCTCTAAAACATTTAAGTAAATAAAATTATTGCAGCCAGTTCACGTTCTTTCATCTTTTTTGGTTAAAGACAACTGAAGATGAAGGATACCTAGATATGTTCAGTCCCCTTCTATGGTCCTGTAGAACAGAGACCATTGATTTACTTCATCGTTCTCTTCAAATAACTAAAAATCAAACGAAATCATAGTAAATTCTACTTCAAAAAATTCCAACTTCCATAAAAAATTAAACATAATTTACACTGCGTTAAGCTGAAGGGCGTAGGAAAGACAAGAGATTTTTCATGGGTGGTGTTCAATATAAAAACCTCAGGGCTCAGCGGATTCTGGAAAACTGGAGATAAGAAGCAGTAAGTATCCTGATTTCTGGGGCATTACACGCATTCCGTGGAGTCGCAGGCGATAACGCCCCCGAAAAGTGGCTAGACGTAGCACCAGTTTTTCTGTCTTTTGCATAGCTCAATCATCCAACTCATCTTCAAATGTCTCTTATTCAGTATGAGTAAGAATAAAAAAACGCAGAAGTGAATGGAGGAAAAAACATTTGCAGCGTTTGAAGCGAAGGTGGCCTTATGCCCCAGAAAATAAGGTATTCCTGGAGCTTGGACTTTGAGGCGAAGGCGGTCACATTGCAGGCGGAGGAGCATGCTGATCGACCGCTTTAATGCTATGACGTGCAATGCTAGGAGTTCGAAGTAGTACGCGTAAAAAGCCCCACTAATGGCTAAGTCGACCAGCTAGTGCTCTTCAAACAAGCAAAATCTCATGGCTACCACCACAAACATGATTCAGAGTGAGGCAGGATACGTTTCTGACCAACTTTACTCTGACCGCTATCAAAACTGAAATTGCTCTTGATTGTATGATCGTTGTCACTTCGTAAAGCGTAAGAGCTTTCTGGCCTGGAAGTATAGGTCCTAACATGAGGGTTTTTCGGCTCTGCGTGGGTAGAGCCAAGTAATGCGTTGACGTGACCTGGTACGTTTAACTACAGTATGTATTACGCCAATTGTTGTTCCATGTTTCAATCGGTTACAAACAATAACTTTGATAAGATGAACTTAATAAATGTTCTGGTAATTTCACTGAAGAGCTGACTACAGTAACCTTGAAATCTATCCAGACTTCCCTGAGCCCTTTTTGCACAGCCATAAGTAATATTGCCCGATTACGGCTATGATGACCTTGATTCAGGCTTTAACCAATCCTCCCCCTGGAAATTGATACATCCGTCGTTCTACACGGTGTCGATGAGTGGGACAAGCGAGTATTCGAATTACATTCGCATTCCCCGACGACAACGATGACGATAACACAGACGGACGACAACCGGTGTGTTTATTTGGCCATTTGCCAACGAATCGGATAAGTGCCCAATCTGGCAGCATTTTGTAACATGATACATGCAGGTGTAACGGAACTGGCAGCCGGGATTACTCTCGGTCGGTCTGGACGGGGGCTAGGTTTGGCTCCATGGGCTCGTCGAACGGGGATCAAGACGCCAACGACTGATAATCACTGGTGATTATGACGACTTCGTTGCGGACTACCGCAGTTGTCAGTGACAGTCGCCGGCCAGTCAGCCACTTGCCGACCAATCAGCGCCGAGGAAGTCTGTGCATCGCTCCGCCCAATTCGGCCATCTATTTGGCCAGAATTGAGGGGCGGTACCGGCAAAAAGCTCACACAACCAGCTAGCGCTAAGCGCAGTGTTCATCAACCGCAGCTAAACGATCTGTGTAGAGGTTTGCAAGCCGTCAGCGCGTACTCTCTAAAGAACCGACTACCGTAGCCCAGCTCTGACGAGGATGTCCTTGAATTTCTCCATCGACCGACTCGTGGACACAGCGAAGAGTGAGCCGTCATCTTCACAAGAGGAGCGAACTGCTCCAATTGCACAGACACTCTCGTATTTCGACGTCTTACTACCTCATGTACAAGTCCGTTTCATGGCCCCATTTCCTGATCTCACCGTCAATGCACAGGTTCAAATATAGCTCTTTCAGATGGCATACGCAAATCCGTTTTTGGCAGGATTGTCGGACGCACCGCAAAGTCACAGTCGCCTCTTGGTCGCAGCAATGGGTCGAACTGCTTCAACAAGCCAATTCTTCTCAATTCGGTATATAAATATTTATTCATTATATTCCTACAAATTAGTTTGGCTCTGGAATTCAGTAGAAGGGCCGTTTAATCAATAATTTCGTTAATGAATCCATTAGAACCAATATTATTCAGTATTCACTGTTGTCTATTTGCCGTTGAACTCTTCTTCTTTGTCACCTTTAGCAGAATGAATTTGATTTAGGGCCTTATTCTGACCATGCTCTCAAATAGCCTTCACTCCCAGTCATTTTCTCTGCAGTGAGTTATAACTTGACTTCCCGCTCAGAAAGTGTTTTCTAGGCGGCTGACTAATAACCTGAAATTCTGTGGGCACGTATTCCCTTGGATGCGAAGCTGCCCAGAGCCACTATAAGACCCCCGCCTCTTGTCTTGCTAATCGTTCGTTCTTTTGTATCATAACAGATCAACTAGTAGAAGCGTTCAACAAGTAAGATGCGAGCGCGTGACATATTACGAGCGTAGTGCCATTTTCTGGTTCTGTTTTCTATTTTCTAGTTCTAATGTTATAAGTGAAGCTTTTCATCTTTTGGCCAAAACCGTCTTTACCTCATATTTGCCCTACTGACCATTTCTACCAAAAATCGATCGATAATCGATTCAGCGCCTACTGAACATTCATTTTGGGACTGTTTGTACGAGATTACGGTATTCGCTCATTTTCACCGATTAACGGGTGCTATTTGTGAGTTCGAAGTTCTTCAGAGGGTTCACAATAACAAGCTGAAATTCAGAAAAGCTTTGCAATGATAGCTAAACTGCTCTTTGGGAGGCAAATTACAGTTGTGCAGACAAGATGCATTTTGTGTGCTGCCAAGCACCCCATCATAGGCCCACATTATCCAGGTTTACCCTTTATTGGGCTCGACGGGTAGCATCCATCAATCTTATTCTGTTTCCTGTAAAAGGTATCATCATCTGTTCCGCGTGTAACCGCAGCAATAAACTCGATTCTTTTCCGAAAACTTCTTCAATTCAAGAATAGCTTCATAAAGGGTTCATTTCTAGCTCAGTCATCCCTTTCACTTGGGGTTAGGAAAACTATGTAAAACTGTGTTGTTTTCCGAGCGACTTTGCAGATCAATTCTCATGTAAACAGGCGTTCAGCAAACTCACTGAACCGCAGAGCACTCACAGGAGCTTCAGTCATATGTTCCGAAAATCTTAGCGAACCAAACAGTTTTGTAATACTGGTATTCCTTCTTTCTTCTATTCCTTTTTGTGTCTTCTTAGAACGCTGTCTGAATAAAATCGCGGTGACTGCTTCTGCATAACGTTTTTTATAGGCAGTTTTATTTTTTGAGATTATGCGCTTCGGTAGAATCGATAACCATTAACTCCATGTATTCCCTTATATACAACCTTACAAGATGGACATTGCAGAGCTCACCGCTGTAAGGATATCTTCACCCTGATCCTTTGAACTCACTCCTCCTTTGGAGTGACTGCTGTTTACCTCTCCTAAAACATCTCTTTGCTTTTAAACGGTTCAAACGGCAGCATATTGATTCCTGAGTTCTTCAGCAATGTCCCTCATCAATGTATCACTAAATCTTTGTGGTTTGGTAATGCGAAAGCTGAGCAACCTTGAAGAGCAGCGACTGTCCTTATCAGCTCTATTAGTTGCCATCCATTTCTATGACCCGCCAATAACACATAACCCTCCTAGCCTTACAATCTTTCTTGGGACCAATTTACCATTTTTTTGACCCCGCACTATAGGGTTCGTATGGCGCTTTCCTTTCAAATGTTCCTATCGGATCTTTATCAGCTGACAAACACTTTCTGTTCCACCAATAATGTCGTGTCCCATACCTTCATATCATATCTTGGAATTAAAGTCTCTGTACTACTGTGGTCGCTATTCATTTTGTAGCACCCACATACGCACAGGCATACTTGATACAACTAGCGAATTATACATAGTAGGATTTTTTTTTTGGTGTAACCCGCCCTGGGGAAGCACGCAGTGTGCCCGCGCGACACAACGTAAACGAGAATTGCAAGACAAGCTTGAACTTTTTGTGTTTTTCGCTTAGTTTAAATGAACGGTCCACGATGACCTATGAAAATGCAAAACATTATGTGGGAGGTTAGCGCGGTCCGTGGTGTGCCAGTTTTGCAGCGGAAAGTTTGTAAGGTAAGGGAGTTATGACGCAAAGTTGCCTCAGGGACACCTCCCATTTCCAGTGACTCCGCCTCCAGACTCCGCCTTCAAAGCCCGCCTTCCAGCCAAAAGCGATGCTACCGCACAAGTAGCATGAAAGGGAGATGCTCCATAGTCTCTTGCGGAGTCATAGGGCCTATTAGGAAGAATGAACCGACTGGATGCGATTCAACACGCGGTCTTTCGGCCTTTTACCCTACAACTGTCTGAGACTGGAGTGGTCCTATTAGGGGCGTTTCCGACGTTCCCTTTGGCATTTTCTCTTTACAGACGAGTCACTTGACAAGTTGTCTTCCTTATTTCAACACCACTAAATAAGCTCCTCATCGCGGATCCGTGCCTTTAACCCTCTAAATAGTTTTTAAACCTCTTGTAATACGGATTATTCGTGAGGTGAAAAAGTCCCTTCGGCATGCGAAGCGAAGGTGTGTGGGTCCAAAGCCTAAACATGGGTGCGTCTTATACACCAGAAAATAAGGTAGTGCCTATCTTTGCGCTCGCTGTAATCCAGCTCTAGGTCTTGCTCGCTTTGCACCTCAAATGCACTTTTAGTTCACGACCTATCAGACTGTTTCTGTGTTTGCGCACCTCTGTGAAGGATCTATGAGGAGCTCATTCTCATTGCTTACGTTAGTGAAATTTTCTTTCACGCTACAGTTGGAGCACCAAAAGTTACCACAAGTGTGCTGAACAAAAGACGTCGATAAAGTCGGTATTAGCCGGAGCGATTTCAACAAGCATGGAATGGGCTCATCCACCTGTGGTTGTTTTCCTCCTAAATCGATAGCCACCATTGAAATCCCAAGGCAGCCGGAGGCGGGTTCAATCCGCCCCTCCTGCCACCGCCCCGACTGATTGCGCGTTATCAGCTATACAGACCATGCATGATTTTTTTAGCCGCAAAATGAGCTTTTACCATGGTGCATGTAAGAACAGGGCTTGCTGTAACTGCCCTAACTGATCTTCAGTTTGAATAAGAAACCTCACTGGTACAGTTAGTTCTTAAGTAACTCAGCACTTTAGTAACAGACCATCAGTTAGCCCATCTTTCTGCTTAACTTCTGTGCTTACTAAATAATGTTTTTTTTTGCTTTGTCACATTCGCTTTTTACTCCGAGCTAGACCAAAACTACATTATGTTACCGAAGAGTTACCCGCTTTAGGACAGGGCTTCTCATTGGGTTGAGATTCCTCAGCGCAAAAGGAGGTGGTTGTGTGGTAGTTTTTTTTCTGATAGTTGATTTTTCCATTTCACTCGCATTAAATATAACCCTAGCACGTACACGGCTGGTGTGATGATGCTGCCCTTTCTGGTAGCTTATCAGACCCAACACTGGAAGGTGCCATGTTCTTAACGTTGCTGCTCTTGATTCAGTTTGCAGACGGCTTCCACCCGCCCTAGTTCTCACCTTCTCTGTCATCTTATCCCAGTAATCTGCAGAGTTGGAAGACACTTGCTAGCAAAGTTCGTGACTCTAGCTGCTCGTTAGGGCACTTATGGTGCTTTGACTTCTAGCTGATCGTGTGGGCGCCTACTGGTGCTTTGAAATGGATAGGGTAAGTTATGCGAACTGGTTTGCTCTTATAAAATTCCTAAAGTCGAGCCATGTGAGTAGAGGCTCACTGGACAGAGCTGTGGCGGTGGCATGATCCCGTCATCGTTTGGAAGACTATCTTCGACCCGCCTAACTGGCATGTTCTGTTAGCCGTCCTGAGTTTTGATACGAGGATAGAGCAAGACAACAACTGGATATGCAAATAAGAAAGTAGGCACTATAACACAAGAGAATCTCTTGGATGGGCTAAGACGCTCGTTCGAAGCCTTTGATATCTCGGGATGAGCGAATACAATGGTTATTGTCAGAATGGTGTTAATAGTATACGACAGTCCTCTGACGGTCAACTCCTTTTTGTTATGATAAGATTCAGACCGAGGGCAAACTTGAAAGTGGTGCTTACTTCTTTTGCGCACTGTGTGTACTCTGATTTAGAATCTATGCAATTTTTTATGGATAAAGATGCAGCTGCGTTCTGAAATAGCATCTGATTTATTATGAATTTGAGAGCTGGAAGTATGGTGGTTGACAAAGTGGACGACTGCATCATAGTGAAGAACCGCCCGTATGGAAAAGCGAATACTGAGTCCACTTTTTGAGGTCTTCCGGAATTTAAAAGTTAATTTGAAGTATAATATAACGCTTGGATGGCCATCTAATTCGTTGTATGCTATAAAAAGAAAGAAACAAATGTTCAAGTGTCTTAGCTTACTCTAGTGGAGAGTAAGTCGCTTTGTTAATCGGTCGTGATTTGCATGAGCGATGCTGTTATTCCCGAGTGATCAAGTCATTCAGTCGGATTATGAGGGAGTCAACTATGCCAGTTAGCGTAGCTGGGTGGGGCTAGTACAGGAAGTTGATTGTCTAGTGTTCTTATGTTTGTCCCTGATAGAGGTTGAGATTTCTACAGAACGATAGCCTGAGATTGCCAAGCAGTAGAAGTGATATCGTCTCAACCGGTCGGGGCGGTGTCAAGGAGGAATGGAATGAGCCCATCCACTAGGCTTTCACTACTGGTTGTTTTCTTTCTTAATCAGCCACTAACGGACCAGTAGAGCAAGACGACCGAAAGCCGCTCATTCCTACCCCCTGCTGGTACACCTGACTGATTGGCGAGCTGTCAACTATAGGTATGTGGACTGTATGGGAATTCAATGTCAGACTAGGTAGCTTGGTGCCTTCTGTACGAAGAGCTTTAAACAAAAATTCAGTGGCTAAAGTGCTTATCTCGTAACTTGGTGTTCAGCATGGTGTGAATCAAGGTGGGAGGAGGGAAGGTGGGGCGTACCTTACATGTAGCTGATTTACTTCCACATAAAATAGAATTGAAAGTAAAATAAATCTATGAGATGGATGAAATACCGACTTAAATCGCGAATAGATCACTTTGTGGCAAAGATGTCATAAGCTAGAGTTCCCTTCAGTTTTATGATGGGGCAACTGAGATAAAATTACCGCAAGAGTTAATCAGTGTGTGATGTTCTCCCTAGTCATTAACGGTGGGACAGAAAATGAGTTATTCGCCTAATGGACGGTGGAACCTTCCTGTGATCGGAAATACGAAATCGGGAAAATTTGAATACTAGACTCAGATTTCTCGAGAAATCCATTCCAATCCTTCATCAATAGTTTTTCACGCCTCTCGGCTGAATGGCTTTATTCCGGCAATATGAGGGCCATTCAACAGAATGGAGGGGCATGGGAATGGGGCATCGTAAGAAACTACTCGTTAATGATAGATTACCGTTATGGAGATGAGCTAATTGCTTAACTTGGCGATGAAGTGTGAACCGCTGTAATTCGGATCGACGACGTATCAGTCCTACACAGGGAGTCTTTAGAAGACTTCCCCAAATCTATATAAACACCTCCAACATTCAATAAATTTGAAAGAGTCTTTCTTCAGGGTGTATATGTAATAGCCGCAAACTTGTCTGCAGCAGAAGAATGCGTCTTTATACTTGTAGGAACTTGAAGGTATCAAAAATGAATGCGCAACCGTTGTCTATCCACCATTTCAGTAAGTTCGCAGCAGGACTATTTCTGGCAGCGTTTAGCAAATGTAAACGAGTCGTATTGCTTTCTCAACCGTCGCAATATTGGAATATGGAGCGCGCTTTGAAGGTATGACTATGTGGTTTGAGGAGCAGAACGAAGCAGACATCGCCAAACACATCGTCGTTTATTCACTTGTTTATTGGTTTATTTCTTGTGTACTAGTTAATTAGGTAAACAGTAACTGGTAACATTTGAGAGTGCAAGTATCAGAATCTCAAGTCACAGTAATCACAGACTAATTTGGGCGCTAATAGCCTTGGAGGGGGCATAAAGGACTCCTTATGCAAAAACTAGTTTCAACATCATCCGAGCAGAAGTGCCGTACGTGAGCTAGGTTCAGCCGCTCTAGAGCACCTTCTCTCTTCAGACTTGGATAAAAGACCTTATTTTCTCAGATTTAGTCGGAAGACCTTATTTTCATTACAATAATTCTATTTTGCGCAAGTAATCCCTTGCATGCCCCCCTTCAAGATTCCCCCTGCTTGCCTATAGTACTAAGCTACCGTACCCTACAACTGTGGCTAATCCCCAAGAAAGACATTTTGTTTAGAAATCTTCACTAAATAATGATCAGTTCATCCACTTTGCTCCCGCCAGCGCACTGTTGATCTCGTCGCGGGTGCGCCACAAAAGAATACGGTAACCTGATGCGATTACACTGTTCAAGTGTCATTATGGTGGTAGATAGCAGTCAGCCAGCAAGCAGCCGCCGCTGTCGGAAACACGGTCAACAGCGCGACGTCGCAACGCCGCGCACGGATGTCGCGCGACGCGGCGCCATATCGTCTCCATTTCACGGGCCAATGTTTGCGCTCGACCGAGCTCTTCCTGACTGAATGAAAGGGGTTGGCGGTGATGAGAGCATGTAATAGTGATCGAATTGCCTCAAAATTTCGATTGAACAGGATCGATAATTGGTGGGTAGTGGGTCCAAGAAGGCTCATGTAGTCAATACCATCTGTCTTGAGAAACCCAAATAGTTAGAGAGGGCTATGAAATTGCACAATTACAGACAGGGAGTAGGCCAACGAAGATGACTTCCTGGAGGATTAGATAGAGTGGCAGGCTACGATAGTTTAGTAACCTAGGCAAATTAGGGTGTTCGTAACCACGGGAGGGGCTTTTCAAGGACCCCTTGTGGGAACTAGAACTATCGTAGTGGAGATAGGGACGTTTCTCCAAGCCTAAGGAGGTGGGAGCTCCGGAGTAGCCGAAACAATTCGAAGTACGGTACTTTTGTTCGGATGACGCTGATCATAGTTTGACAGGAATGAGAGCGCCACTTCCCGAAGGCGGATAGTTTTGGTGCGGTTGTTCTGCAATTTGTGCAGATCCTTCAACCTACTCCCGAGCTACATTACAGTTAGCAACTAGGCAAAAGATCTGGCGGAGATCGTCACCCGGCGTTTCTTCGCACCGGCTCCGGGTCAGGTTACAGCACCGTTGGGAAACTCAGAACGGAGGTTGTACTCGGTCGCTGGGAGTCGTATTTGGTCAAGGGTCGTAACTGGCTTTGAAAGTTTTCTAAGCCCGCGTTGTGGCATCCGAAAATTCTCCCGACTGTTGACTTTTGCGATTTTTTTCTTTCGCCATTTGCCCACGCGGCAGGCTTTTCACACCAGTACTATTTCTACAGTTTACTTTCAGTACTTGATCCTGTGAAACCTCGCCCTTCGACGCCACCTTCTGGAAAAAACCGGAAAGTCTTTAAAAAAAAAAGGTAATTAGTTGGGAGAATTAGGGAAGATGGTAGATGGGAAGAGAGGGGGTCGTATCGGAAGAGGATTTTTGGGAGGGGAGGTTGTACTGACTGGCAGGCCATTCACTCATTTCGATGCTGTGCTCTGCTCCGGGTTCCATGTTACTGGCTCATGCGTTTTGATCCGGGTCGGAATTGGTCTACCCGTGATCAGAGTATTAGAGTTTACTGAATTCCAGGTTGATGTGATTGAACTTCTGAAAGGGTAGGACAGTTAGTGAGTGAAAGAATTTCAGTATGAGTGGGCATGGTGAACACGGAACAAGCACACTCGGGTTAATTTTTAGAAAACAAGCACACTCGGGTTAATTTGTACCTTTCTGGTAATCAAATCCAAGTAACTGGTTCTTATTCTGGATTTGTTGAAGCACTGAATGGTGAAAAACGGTGCATACCATAATTATTCCAAAAGCGAGGATTCGGGCGTGGGCGTCTTACCTTCCGGAAATGTGCTACCTATCACACACTCACCAATTAGCTTACCTACCAACTCAGCTGTTCTCATATCCATTGAGATGGGGTAGGCTGGCTACGTATTCGACTGAAAATGGTGGCGGCTAAGCTTTCATGCGGGCGGATGAGATTATTGGGACAGGTGACAGTGATTAAGAGACAGTTGTACCGTCCAGTCTTTGTCCAACAAAGCAAGAAGACAGTTGTCTCAAATTGGAGTTTCCCACGAGTACCCCACTCTATGCCATGTTCGAGTGCCACGCCCACCCCGCCTCGGGGATAAGGCGTATACATACTGCCATCTTACGAGCTTGATAGTTACTCATTTGTTAAAAATGTTTTGATAGTTGCGTGCCGATAAAAGAGTATTGCAACACACACATGACAATTATGAAGCGAGGTTATTAATCTTAAACCGATTCGCTTCTAGAGTATGCGCAATGCATTCGACACACACACATTACTCATAATTGTGAAAGGGGACACGGCGTAAATGGCGGTACATTGATCAAATAGGTGAGAAATGGTACGGTTCAGAGTTTTTGTCCTCTAGCAGCCCGGGTTCGATGAAAGCGAGGCGAGCAAGGTGAGAGATGAAGGGCAACGTCAACCTTGGTTTAATTCACCCCACCGGCCGAGCATGTGGAGCGCGTCGTAGCTTATGTTAGTACCTATCACCCACCTCTAGCAGAGAATCTCGTAATACATCCCTCCCCCTCCCTTCCGAATCCTGCTCACCACCTTTTCCAAATCTCTAGTCACATTTTTTCTTTTAAGAAACTCAAATACTTTTTGCCCACTTTCTCCTCAAAAAAAAATGGGTCGCCCAGCGGGAGAGATGTTGGGAGATCGTCACCAAATGAACTATCCAGGTATAGCGCACATGAAGCTGAAGGATCGCGAAATGTCAACCGGGAAATCTATCGCTCTTGTAAAAATTCGTGTCAAAGCTAGATACGACCCCCTCTGGCCAAATAGGTCTCCCCTTACCAAGCGACCAAGTGGGATCCCCAATGCTACTGTACTAACCAAAGTTCAATTAATTCCAAAACAAGTAAAGAAAATTGCTTCATTCATTCATTCAAATAAACAAAAATATATGCCAGAATGGGGGGGTCAGTGCAAGAAATGCTGCCAAATAAGCTCAGCTAATCTAACTTTACTCATTATTATTTCAGGTAAAAGTGTGGTTTCAAAATCGACGAACAAAACATAAGCGGGTTCGAGTTGAAGGCCAGCCACCATCGCCATCTACTTCACCACGGCTTCACGACGATGACACACCACCGCATCAGAATCCACCCACGTCCACCACCAACACACCCAGTC